AGGTACGAAAAAATGCTATACAAATAACAAACTAAAACAGGAGAAGTCCACAAAAAGACAAAAAACGACCTAAAAATGAGTAAAAAACACAAGGTGAAAACAGTGACAAAAACACGACAAAGATTTCCAAAAGGGACAACTGATTTTAAAAAACTTAAAGAGCGAAAATGTGTTTAAAGTAGGACTAAAAAATACGGCAAAAAATTCACAAAAAAAAGGAAAATTCGTAAGAACCATTAAAGAGACAAAAAAGGTGCCAAAAAACGGCACTTATAAAAAATAGCAAAAAAGAGGTAAAAACGGTAACAAAAAAGGTGATAAAAAATAGGGTAAAAAAATCCGATATAAATACAGAACAAAAAAACAAAAAAAAAACAAAAAAAGTGGTAAAGAAAAGGCGACATAAAACCGACAAATAAATCCACAAAAAAAGCATGCTATGTGTATGTTTCAAGTGAGTTTTTCCGTAACAAAATGTTGGTATGATGTCATCAACATAGAATAACAACGTAGAATAAAATTATTATTAAATTATTATTATTAAAATTATTAAAACATTTTAGAAAGGTCAATAAAAAGGAAAAAGTGACAAAAAACACCAAAAAGCTACAAGAAAATGCGATAAAAACAAGACAAGATGCAGCGAAAAAGGCAAAAAGGTTAAAAAATGCGATAAAATTAGGATAAGAAACGATAAAAAAACCCGCCAAAACGTCAAAAAACTAGTCTGTAAAAATTACCAAAGAGACAATAAAAGCGAGAAAAAAAGAAACGCTATACAGCGACGAAAAAAATAGGACAAAAAAGTGAGAAAAAGTCAAAAACCGACGCAAATGTCCACAAAAAAACAACAAAGAAGTCTCTAAAACCGACTAAAAACGAAAAAACCGCGACAACAAACGTCAGTTATAAAAAAAAAGACGAAAAAAAGATGACAAAAAAAGGACGAAAAAAACGTGAATTGAAAAAAAAAGAACGGCAAAAAAATTGACAAAAAAAGGTGACAGAAAAAAGAAAAATGCGGTTTAATTAGAGAACTAAAAAACACCATTTAAGTCCATAAAAATTACTAAAACCTACCTAAAACTACTGAAGAAAAAAACAAAAGCGAAAAAAAATCCCCAACAAACCAACTAAACAAGGATGTCAAAAGGCGATAAAAAACGCGATTTAAAAAAGTGGCAAAAACTGCAATTAAAATTGTGATCAAAAGAGGTCAAAAAACAACAAAAAGTTCACAAAAAACACTACAAAGAAAGTCTCTAAAAACTTCGAAAAAGACAAAAAGGTCACAAAAAAGGGATGAGGAAAAAAGTAAAAGAAGAGGCAACGAATGCGATAAAAATAGAAAACTAAAAAACCCAAAAAAGTAAAAAAATCTCAAAAAAAAACACAAAAAAATCGATTTAAAAAAAAGCGACAAACAATGGTAAAAAAGAGGGAAAATGTATTTAAAGTAGATCAGCAAAAATTATTATTATTATTATTATTAAAGATAATTTCCCAACGAAGCAATCCATTAACAGGGAAAGTATAAGAAGTAAATACCCAGATTTTAAATTACTCAGATTAGACAATATCGATCAGATTTTTTGCTTAACTTTGACACCAGAATCAAATAAAAAGAAATGAAAGAAATTACAGACGTAAATATTATGAAAATAAAAATAAAAAAGCAGAAAAAAATAAAGAGAAAACACATCTTAGCAGAAACAACGAATGTTAATTAAATTAATTATTAAGGTATATTCCACAAAAAAAAACTAAAAAAAATCCGTAAAAACGATTAAAGAGATAAAAAAATTGACAAAAAACGTCACTAAAAAGTAAAAATTAAAAAAGTAAAAAAAAAATTGGCAAAAAGGGGTAAAAATTGGATTAAAAAAACTGAAAAAAGGGCCGAAAATATGTGGTATAAATAGAAAACAAAAAAAAAAGAACGATAAACAGTCCATCAAAAACGACGAAAAAAAACTATTCAAAAACAAAGTCTCTAAAAAAGTAACAAAAAATGTCAAAAAGGGACAAAAAACGCGGTTTAAGTAGTAAATTAAAAAACACTAATAAGTCTACAAAAATGACTAAAAACTACCTAGAATGACTAATAAAAAGACAAACGTAAAAAAAAAATCCCAACAAAGCGACAAAAAAAAGTGAAGGGAAAAAAGATGCCTAAAGGCGATGAAAAACACAATTTAAAAAAAGTGACAAAAAGTGGCAAAAAAATAGGACTCAAAACGACAACAAGTTCACAAAAAACTACAAGTAAACTCCCTAAAAACGATTAAAAAGACAAAAAGGTGACAAAAAGGTCACAAAAAAGGTAAAAAAAGTGACAAAAATTGGCGATAAACAAAAATGAGAAAAAAAAAGATGACAAAAAAAAGGGGCGAAGAAAAAGTAGAAAACGGACGAAAAAATGCTATACAAATAACAAACTAAAAACCGACAAGCCCACAAAAAGACAAAAAACGATGTAAAAATGAGTAAAAAAAAAGAAAGTAAAAAAAGTGACAAAAACACGGTGTCAAAAAGGGACAACTGATTTTAAAAACTTTAAAGGGCGAAAATGTGTCTAAAGTAGGACTAAAAAATACGACAAAAAATTCGCAAAAAAAAAATAGGGAAATTCCTAAAAACAATTAAAAAGACAAAAACGGGGCCAAAAACGGCACCAGAATCAAATAAAAAGAAATGAAAAAAATTACAGACGAAAATATTATGAAAATAAAAAATATGCGGTATAAATAGAAAACAAAAAAAAAACGATAAAAAACTACCCAAAAACAAAAAGTCTGTGCATTAAAAAACACCGATAAGTCCAAAAAATAACTAAAAACTACCTAGAACGACTAAGAAAGACAAACGTGAAAAAAATCACAACAAAGCGACTAAAAAAGTCAAGGGAAAAAAGATGCCAAATGGCGATGAAAAACAATTTAAAAAAGGTGCAAAAAATGGAAAAAAATATGATTAAAAAAGGACTAAAAACGACAAAAAGTTCACAAAAAAACTCTCTAAAAACGACAAAAAAGACAAAAAGGTGACAAAAAGGTAACAAAAAAGGTCACCAAAAAATGACAGAAATTGGCGATAAACAAAAGTGAGAGAAAAAAGATCACAAAAGACGGGCGAAGAAAAAAAGTAAAAAAGGGACGAAAAAATGCTATACAAATAACAAACTAAAAAACGACAAGTCCACAAAAAGACAAAAAACGACCTAAAAATGAGTAAAAAAAGAAAGTGAAAAAAGTGACAAAAACACGGCACTAAAAAAGCGAAAACAAGATGTCAAAAAGGGACAACTGATTTTTAAAAATTCAAAGAGCGAAAATGCGTTTAAAGTAGGACTAAAAATTACGCCAAAAATTCACAGAAATAGGAAAATTCCTAAAAACAATTAAAGAGACAAAAAAGGTGACAAAAAACGGCACTTATAAAAAATAGCAATAAAGAGGTAAAAATTGTAACAAAAAATGTGATAAAAAAGGGGCGAAAAATGCAGTCTAAATACAGAACAAAAAAACAAATAAAATCGCAAAAAAAGTGGTACAGAAAAGGCGACATGAAAACGACAAAAAAAAGCCCACAAAAAATCAAAAGTCACTTGAAAACTACTACCAAGACAAAAAACAGGTAGAAAAAAAAATTGTGACAACAAACGATACTTAAAAAGAGCGATAAAATAGAACGAACAACTGGGGGGAAACACTGTAAGATTCATTCCAAAAACTTGATGAGCTTTTCCAGAAATAGTAGATAGTGATAAAGTAATGGTAAAGAAGCAGGTTATGGGTATGTTTCAAGTGAGTTTTTCCGTAACAAAATGTTGGTATGATGTCACCAACATTTTAAAAAGGTCAACAAAAAGGAATAAGTGACAGAAAAAACACCAAAAAACTACAAGAAAAGGCGATAAAAACGCTCAAAAAAAAAACACAAGAAAAAGAGTGAAAAAGAATGAGAAAAAAAGGTGACAAAAATGAGACAAAAAACGCGGTTAAAAAAGAAAAAGGTGAAAACTGCAAAAAAGGGCGATAAAAAAGGCAGTAAAGAGAGGCGACAATGCGATAAAAACATGATAAAAAAATGACTAAAAAGACGGTGAGAAAAAAGTAACAGAAAACAAATAGAGCGAAGAAACGGCTATAAAAAAGACAAAAAAACTGGACAAATAAGACGATTAAGAATCGATTAGGAAACAAGAAGATGCGACAAAAAGAAACTGGTAAACCGCTAATCAAAATTCTAACCTGATGATGTCATCTTCAACTTCGTTGAACAATCTTGCTTGAAATTTATATTTCCTTGCATATTCACTGATAGGTATACAAGGTTATCAAAAAATAATAAATTTTGAAGTCAAATTTTATAGTTTATCTTGGATTCTACGAATTTTAAAAATGCGTTGCGATATGCAGTGTTGTTTCCGGTTTAATCATGGATGCATATTTTGCAAAATTATTTATACAGGATGTTACAAAAAAATAATGAATGAAACAATTAATTATAGTGACTGGATTAAAACTAATTTACATAAACGAATGTAGGCACCTCAGATATACGGTATGTTCGAATAAACTTCTAACTACGTACTATTATTATCCCGGTAGGTAACAACAGGTGTTATCTAATGAAACGTAATAAATAAATGTGTGAACATTTACAGGCAGAACTTATCTACTTATTTGTGCAACAAAATTGATATCAAATCGTAACAAATAATTAGTTTTCTTTATAAATTAATCGATTCAGTGCCTTAGAGTGTTTACTTTCAAAAGTGAGCTCATATTTTGGAAGATAATAATTATTAAAAATTTTAGAAAAACTAGATGATAACCGCAAAGTATTAATTTGTAGTCATCCAAAACAAACTACTTACTTAAAGATTAAAAATACACATAATAATAATAATAATAATAAAATGGGTAACAGCTGATAACTACGCACCTACAGCATTTTTTTTAACTTATCAAAGAACCAATGAAAAAATGTATGCTTATTTAGAACACGATATGCAAAAAATTTGTGTGAATAATGATGATACGAGTAAGTGGTTGCGTGAGGAGTATTTTCGGAAAACACAAAGCGAAAATATGCTCCATTTTCTGGATTCAACGATAACATACCTGAATAGCATACCTCATTTAAATTGTCTGCAATTTTTACACAAAATTTGCTGTATATAATAAATCGACGGAACCACAACCTAGTAGTTGAGATTGTATTAACAACGTCACGATGTTAAGCAAAACTGTCTTCGTAACACTCCTGGCCCTCTGCTCAGGAGTGGAATTTCAGATCCAAAACACAGCTAACTTCGACATTTGGGTTGGTATTCAGGCCAATCCAAACCATCCTCTGCTGAGAAATGGAGGTTTTGATCTACCACCAGGACAAAAGGTAAGTAGCTACCTTAATTTATTTTTAGGTGTCAAATTTGGTTTAGGTTTCTGTACAAGCGCCCGAAAATTGGGCAGGCCGCTTCTGGGGTCGCACAGGCTGCAACCCAAACACCAAACACTGCGACACCGGCGACTGTGGCAACAAACTCGAGTGCAACGGGGCTGGAGGTGCACCCCCTGCCACTCTGGTGGAAATCACCCTCAAAGGAGACCAAGGCAAAGACTTCTACGACGTTTCCTTAGTCGACGGTTTTAACATCGTAGCTTCTGTAATTAACCTCCTCTTTTGATTTTTGTGTCACCGTTTAATTTAAACTTTGACAGATTGAACCCATCGGTGGTCAAGGCGACGGCAGCCAATACAGCTGCAAGAAGGACGCTTGCTCGAATCACGACGTAATCAATCAGTGTCCCGACAAACTAAAAGTTAAGAATGGTCAAGGGACTGTTATTGCTTGTAATTCGGCTTGTAATGCCTTTAATACTGATCAGTATTGTTGTCGTGGTGCTTATGGTACTCCCGATAAGTGTAAATCGTCCGCTTGGCCTGTGGATTACCCGAAGTTCTTCAAGGATCGTTGTCCTGATGCGTACAGCTATGCGTATGATGACCACAAGAGCACTTTTACATGCAAAGCCGAAACTTATTTGATCAAGTTTGGGTAATAGGGTTATTTGTAACGAGGCGGAAAGGCAATAATTGAATAAAGTGGTAGTTGTAGTAGCAGCTTTAGTTTTTATTTTTTTAAGAAAATTAACAATTTTCTAATTTTTTCAAAAAAAGATCGTCAAAATCGGATATCAATTGGTGTCAAATTTTAGATAATTTTTCGCCAATTACGAATGCAAAATCGCCGTCACATTTATTTCAATAAACGTGAAAAGTGAGTTTACGATTTTCAAAGTTTTTTCCAAAATAATAAACGATTTTTCAAAAAAAAAAAAACAAGTGGCTGCCGAGATCCTTTAAAATTGGTGCAACAACAAAAGAAAAGGGGTCCAGGAGATTCTTTTAAACTACTTCAGAATAAAAACACATGGGATTCCCGAGTTTCCTTCAAACTACTTCAAAAACTACAAGTGGTTCCCGAGATTCTTATAAACTACTTCAAAAACGAAATAAAAGTGTTCTCCGAGATTCTTTCAAATGATTGCAACAACAAAACAAAAGGGGTCCAGGAGATTCTTTTAAACTACTTCAAAAACCAGACACAAGGGGTTCCCGAGATTCTTACAAATTACTTCAAAAACAAAATAAAAGGAATCCCCGAGATTTTTTCAAACTACTTCAAAAACCAGACTAAGGGATCCCAACGATTCTTTCAAACTATTTTAAAAACAAAGGAAAATGGATTATCGAGATTCTTTTAAACTATTTGAAAAAGTAAACACAAGGGGTCCAGGAAATTCTTTAAACCACTTCAAAAACAAAATAAAATGAGTCCCCGAGATTCTTTTTTACTTCAAAAACAATATAGCAGCGGAAAAAGCAAGAAAGGTGAAAAAATGCGATAAGAATAGGATTAAAAAACGATAAAGAATCCGTAAAAACGTCAAAAAACTATAGTCTCTAAATTTACTAAAGAGACAAAAAAAAAGCCAGAAAAAAGAAACGCCATACAGCGATCAAAAAAATTACGACAAAAAAGTGAAAAAAGTCAAAAAGCGACGAAAATGTACACCAAAAAAAAAAAAACAACAAAGAACTCGCTAAAACCGACTAAAAACCAAAAAACTGTGACAACAAATGTCAGATTAAAAAAAAGACAAAAAAAGGTGACAAAAAGTGGTTATAAAAAAGTAAGAAAAAAGATTACAAAAAAAAGGGACGAAAAAAATCGTGAATTGAAAAAAAGTAAAAAAAAGGGCAAAAGAAAAAAAATCCCCAACAAACCAACTAAAAAAAGGTGTCAATAATTCGATGTAAAAAACGCGATTTAAAAAAGGGACAAAAAATGTAATTAAAACTATCATTAAAAGAGGTCAAAAAACAACAAAAAGTTCACAAAAAACGAACTTTGACACCGGAATCAAATAAAAAGAAATAAAAGAAATTATAGTCGTATATATTATAAAAATAAAAATAAAAAAGAAGAAAAACACATCTTAGCAGAAACAACAAAGTTAATTAAATGAATTATTACGTTATATTCCACAAACAAAAAAACTAGAAAACCCGTAAAAACTATTAAAGAGATAAAATAGTTGACAAAAAAACACCACTTATAAAAAAAAAGCAAAAAAGAAAATGTGGTATAAATAGAAAACAAAAAAAAAACGACAATCAGTCCATTAAAACCGACAAAAAAACTACCTAAAAACAAAAAAGTCACTAAAGAAAGGTGACAAAAAATGTCAAAAAAGAGCAAAAAACGCGGTTTAAATAGAGAACTAAAAAGCACCAATAAGTTCACAAAAATGACTAAAACGACTAAAAAAACAAACGTGAAAAACATTCCCAACAAAACGACTAAAAAAATTGAGGGGAAAAAAAGATGTCAAAAGACGTTAAAAAGGCAATTTACGAAAGGCGAGAAAAAGTGGCAAAAAATGCGATAAGAATAATCTCTAAATTTTCTAAAAAGAGACAAAAAAAGCGAAAAAAACGCCATACAGCGACCAAAAAAATTACGACAAAAAAGTGAAAAAAGTCAAAAAGCGACGAAAATGTCCACCAAAAAAAACCAACAAACCTCAGTTTAAAAAAAGACAAAAAGGTGACAAAAAGTGGTTATAAAAAAGTAAGAAAAAAAGATTATAAAAAAAAAGGAACGAAAAAACGTAAAAAAAGGGCAGAAGAAAATTGTAATAAGAAAGGTGGCAAAAAGGGGACGAAAAATGTGGATTGAATAGAGAACTAACAAACACCAATTAAGTCCGCAAAAAGTACCTAAAACGACTAAAAAAACCAAAACCGAAAAAAAAATCCCCATCAAACCAACTAAAAAAAAGGTGTCAGAAATTCGATGTAAAAAACGCGATTTAAAAAAAGCGACAAAAAATGTAGTTAAAACTATCATTAAAAGAGGTCAAAAAACAACAAAAAGTTCACAAAAAGCGAACTTTGACACCGGAATCAAATAAAAATAAATGAAAGAAATATATTATAAAAATAAAAATAAAAAAAAAGAAAAAAAATAAAGAAAAACACATCTTAGCAGAAACAACAAAGTTAATTAAATTAATTATTGAGTTATATTCGACAAACAAAAAAACTAGAAAAATTCGTAAAAACGATTAAAGAGATAAAAAAGTTGACAAAAAACACCACTTATAAAAAAAAGCAAAAAAGAAAATGTTGTGTAAATAGAAAACAAAAAAACGACAATCAGTCCATTGAAACCGACAAAAAAACTACCTAAAAACAAAAAAGTCACTAAAAAAAGGTGACACAAAATGCCAAAAAAGAGCAAAAAAGCCCACAAGGAAACAGCCTAAAAACGATTAAAAAGACAAAAAGGTGACAAAAAAGCCACTTATTAAAACAACATAAAAACAGAAAGTGACAAAAATTGGCGATAAACAAAAGTGAGAAAAAAATATGACAGAAAAAGGGACGAAAACTAAGGAAACGAAAAATTGAAAATTCGGAAAACTAAAAAATGAGAAATTGAAAAATCTAAAAACGGCAAATTAAAGAAACAAAAAATTGCAAACTTTTGAAGCCGAGAAATTGAAAAATTAAAAAATCAAAATTGCAAAAACGAAAAAGTCCTTTCCAATTTTTCGATTTTTAATTTTTCGATTTTTAGTTTTTCAATATTTCAATTTTTCGTTTCTTGGATTCTTGAAGTTGCAATTTTTCGATTTTCCACTTTTTCGTTTTGCAATTTTTTTGACATTTTCAATTAAAATTTTTCTAATTTTTTATATTTTCGGTGTTTAATTTTTCGATTTTCCAATTTTTCGAATAAAAAAAATGGAAACATTTCAAAAATGGTTGAATTGAAAATTCTATAATCAAAAAACCAAAAGGCATAAAATAAAAACTTCGAGAAATCTAAAAATTGCAAATTATAAAATCGAAATATTGAAAATTAACGTAATCAGAAAATCCAATGATGGAAATTCAAAAATTGCAAAATTGAAAAATTTAAATATTGGAAAATCGAGGAATTGAAGAATCAAAGATTGAAAATTTGAAAATAGAAAATTATAAAATAGAAGAAACATTGTAAAATGAAGAAAATGACAAAACGAAAAACTGTGAAAAAAACTAAAAAAATGAGGAAAATGAAAAATAAATATAAAGACTTGAAAAATTGAGAAACTGAAAAATCGACAAATCGAAGAAACGAAAAATTGAAAAATTTAGAAGCCGAGAAATTGAAAAATTCAAAAATCCGAAGATTAAGAATTGAGAACCTTAAAAATCGGAAAAGTATGAAGTCGAAATATTGAAAATTCAAGAAATCGGAAATTCGAATAACTGAAAATAAAAAATTGCAAAATTGAAAAGTGTTAAAAATGGTAAAATTGAAAAGTCAAAGATTAAAAAATTTCAAAAATTTAATAAACGAATAGCTATGAAATCGAAAGAAACATTGAAAAAATAAAGGTAATGAAAAAACGAAAAATTGTAATTGAAATTAAAAGATCTGGAAAATGAACAATAAAAATCAAGAACTTGAAAACCTCAGGAAACGAAAAATTGTAGTACTGAAAAATTGCAACATGGAAAACTGAAAAATTCTAAATCGAAAAATTGAGGAAACGAAAGATTTAAAAACCGAGAAATTGAAAAATCAAAATGAAAAAACGAAAAAGGATAAAATGTATTATAAAATAGAAATATTGAAATTAAAGAAATTTGAAAATCGGATAACCCGAAATCCAAAAATTGCAAAATTGAACAATTTCAAAAAAGATTAAAAATTTGGCTAATTGCATAAACGAAAAATTATAAAATTTAAAGAAACAATGAAAAATGAAAAAATAAAGAAATGAAAAAACAAAAAATGTGATATAATATGGAGAAAATGAAAATTAAAAAATAGGGAAAATGAAAATTAAAAATCACAACTAGACAAATTGAACAATGAAAAATTGAAATACCGAAAAATTGCAAGTCGAAAAAATTATAAAACGAAAAATTGAAAAACTTGGAAGCCGAAAAAAAAACATTGAAACCTTGAAAAAACCAAACAGTGAAAAATGGAAAAATCGAAAAAAAAAAAAAAAGAAAAAGTCTCAGACGGTTAAAGAAATAAAATATTTGCCAAAAGAGAGACGAAAAAGTGGAGTATAAATAGAGAAAAAACCGACAATCAGTCCACTAAAAACGACAAAAAACTACCTAAAAACGAAAAATTGACTAAAAAAAGGCGACATAAAAACGACAAAAAAAATACACAAAAAAGTTTAGTCACTAGAAAACTACTAAAAGACAAAAAACAGCTTGAGAAAAAAAATGTGACAACAAACGATACTTAAAAAAAGGCGAAAGGAAAAGGCGACTAAAAAACTACCGAAAAACAACAAGAAATGCGATAAAAACGCGCCAAAAAACCCACTATGGAAGACAACAAAAAGAGCGAAAAAAAGAGAAAAAAACAAAGATTACAAAAATACAAAAGGTGACAAAAACGCACCTAAAAAACGAGGAAGGAAGTCTACTAGAAAAGCGAGGAAAGAACCTCTAGCAAGGCGACAAAAAGGACGAAAATGCGATAAAAATACGACAAAAAAAACTGACTAAAAAATGCAAAAAAAAACTAAATCGCTAATCAAAATTCTAACCTGATGATGTCATCTTTAATTTCGTTGACCAATCTTGCTTGAAATTTATATTTTTATACGAGGTTATCAAAAAAATAATAAATTTTGAAGTCAAATTTTATAGTTTTTCTTGGTATCTACGAATTTTAAAACTGCGTTGCGATATGAAACGTTATTTCCGATTTAATCATGTACGCATATTTTTCATAATTATTTATACAGGATGTAAAAAAAAATGAATGAATCAATTAATTATTTCCATTCGATTAAAAATGATTTACATACAAAGTTATTTCAAATCATAAGAGTCAAACAAATAATTATTTTTCTTCATAAATTAATCGATTCATTGCTTTAGATTGTCTACAACCAAAAGTGAGTTCATGTTTTGCAAGATAATAATTTTTAAAAATTTTAGGAAAATTACATAATAACGCCAAAATTTTGTAGTTATCCAAAACAAACTACTCAAAGATTCTAAATACACATAATAATAATAATAATAAAGTGGGTAATAGCTAATTATAATTAAGAACCCACAGAATTTTCTTTTAACTTATCAAAAAACGAATGAAAAAATGTATTCTTATTTAGAACACGATATGAAAAAAATTTGTGTGAATAATGACGATAAATCGTTGCGTGAGGAGTATTTTCTGAAAACACAAGGCGAAAATATTCTCCATTTTCAGGAATCAACGATAACATACCTAAATAGCACGCTTCATTAAAATTTTCTACAATTTTTTACGCGAGTTTGCTCTATATATAAATCCACGAAACCACAACCTAGTAGTTGAGGTTGTATTAACAACGTCACGATGTTAAGCAAAACTGTCTTCGTAACACTCCTGGCCGTCTGCTCAGGAGTGGAATTTCAGATACAGAACACAGCTAACTTCGACATTTGGATTGGAATTCAGCCCAATAACAAAACAGACAATCCCCAGCTGAGAAATGGAGGATTTGACCTACCAGCAGGACAAAAGGTAAGTAGCTACCACTAATTTTTAGCTATTAAATTTGGTTTAGGTCTCTGTACAAGCCCCCAAAAATTGGGAAGGCCGTTTTTGGGGTCGAACAGGCTGCAACCCAAGCACCAAACACTGCGACACCGGCGACTGTGGCAACAAACTCGAATGCAACGGGGCTGGAGGTGTACCCCCTACAACTCTGGTGGAAATCGCCCTCAAGAAATTCAACGGACTCGACTTCTACGACGTTTCTTTAGTCAACGGTTTTAACATCGTAGCTTCTGTAATTAACCTCCTCTTTTGATTTTTGTGTTAACTTTTATCAAAACTTTGATAGATCGAACCCATCGGTGGTCAAGGTGACGGCAGCCAGTACAGCTGCAAGAAAGGCGCTTGCTTGAATAACGACATAATCAATCAGTGTCCCGAGAAACTAAAAGTTAAGAATGGTCAAGGTGCTGTTATTGGTTGTAATTCGGCTTGTGATGTTTTTAAAACTGATGAGTATTGTTGTCGTGGTGCTTATGATACTTCTGATAAGTGTAAATCGTCCACTTGGGCTGTGAATTACCCGAAGTTCTTCAAGGATCGGTGTCCTGATGCGTACAGCTATGCGTTTGATGACCACAAGAGCACTTTTACATGCAAAGCCGAAACTTATTTGATCAAGTTTGGGTAATAGGGTTATTTGTAACGGGACGGAAAGGCAATAATTGAATAAAATGGTAGTTGTAGTAGCAGCTCTAGTATTTATTTTTATTAAGAAAATTAACAATTTTCTAAATTTTTCAAAAAAGATCGTCAAAATCGGCTATCAATTGGTGCCAAATTTTAGATAATCTTTCGCCAATTACGAATGCAAAATCGCCGCCACATTTATTTAAATAAACGTGAAAATGAGTTTGCAATTTTCAAAGTTTTTTCCAAAATAATAAACGATTTTTCAAAAAAAAAAAAAAAAAACAAGTGGCTCCCGTGATCCTTTAAAATTGATGCAACAACAAAACAAAAGGGATCCAGAAGATTCTTATAAATTACTTCAAAAACGAAATAAAAGGGCTCCCCGAGATTCTTTCAAATGATTGCAACAACAAAACAAAAGGGGTCCAGCAGATTCTTTTAAACTACTTCAAAAACCAGACACAAGCGGTCCCCGAGATTCTTACAAACTACTTCAAAAACAAAATAAAAGGAGTCCCCGAGATTTTTTCAGACTACTTCAAAAACCAGACTAAGGGATCCCGACGATTCTTTCAAACTATTTCAAAAACAAAGGAAAATGGATTATCGAGATTCTTTTAAACTATTTGAAAAAGTAAACACAAGAGGTCCACGAAATTCTTTTAAACTACTTCAAAAACAAAATAAAATGAGTCCCCGAGATTCTTTTTTACTTCAAAAACAATATAGCAGCGGAAAAGGCAAAAAAGGTGAAAAAATGCGATAAGAATAGGATTAAAAAACGATAAAGAATCCGTAAAAACGTCAAAAAACTGTAGTCTCTAAATTTACTAAAAAGAGAAAAAAAAAGCCAGAAAAAAAGAAACTTCATACAGCGACCAAAAAAATTACGACAAAAAAGTGAAAAAAAGTCAAAAAGCGACGAAAGTGTACAGCAAAAAAAAAAACAACAAAGAAGTCGCTAAAACCGACTAAAAACCAAACGGTGAAAAAATGAGAAAGTGCAAGATGGAAAAAACGAAATATGTATTGAAAATTAAAAAAATCGGATAACTGGAAATCCAAAAATTGCCAAATTAAAAAAAAAAGAAAAATTGAGGGAAGGTTGAAAATTTGAAAAATTGAATACACGAAAAATTATAAAATCGAATGAAAAAACGAAAGTTTGTGACATAAAAACGAGCAAATGACAATTAAAATATAGGGAAACGGAAAAATAAAAATCAAGGAGTTGAAAAATTGGGGAAATAAAAATTTAAAAATCGAAAAATTAAAAAAAAACTGAGACTGAAAAAATTAAAGTAGAAAAAACAAAAAATTATCAAAACCAAAAAATGGAAAAATTAAAAAAACGAAAGATTAAAAATTGAGAAAGTTGTTCAAAATCAAAAAAACGAAATATGCGTTGAAATCGGATAACTGGAAATCCAAAAAATTGTCAAAATCAAAAATTTAGGAAAGATTGAAAATTTGAAAAATTGGAACACACGCAAAAATTGTAAAAGTGAAAGAAACATCGAAAAAAAAAGTAATGAAAAACGAAAATTTATAATATAAAATCGAGAAAATGGCAATTAAAAAATTGAGAAATTGAAAAATAAAAATCAAGGAGTTGAAAAATTGGGGAAATAAAAAGCTGAAAAATTGAAAAAAACTGAGAAACTGAAAAATAGAAAAATTTGTAAGTCGAAAAACTGAAAAACTAAAAAAAAATTAAAGTTGAAAAAACGAAAAATTATCAAATCGAAATACGTATTTAAAATTAAAGGAATTGGAAAATCGAATAACTGGAAATCCAAAAATTTCCAAATTATTTTTTATTCAATATTTAAAAATTGGAAAATTGAGAAGGTTGAAATTGTGAAAAATCGAACACACACGAAAAATTATAAAATCAAAAGAAACATCGAAAAATAAAGTTAATGAAAAAATGAAAATTTGCGATATAAAATTGAGAACATGACAATTAAAAAATCGGGAAACTGAAAAATAAAAATCAAGAAATTGAAAAATTGGGGACATGAAAAACTGAAAAATTGAAAAATTAAAAAAAACTTAGAAACTGAAAAATAGAAAAATTATAAATTGAACCATCGAAATGTTGAAAAATTTGGAAGTCGAGAAACTGAACTCAAAAAAATTAAAGTAGAAAAAATGAAAAATTATAAAAACGAAAAAATGAAAGGCGAAAAAATGAGAAACTGCAAGATCCAAAAAACGAAATATGTATTGAAAATTAAAGAAATCGGAAAATTGGATAACTAGAAATTCAAAAATTGCCAAATTAAAAAAAAAGAAAAATTGAGGAAAGTTTGAAAAATTGAATACACGAAAAATTATAAAATCGAAAGAAACATTGAGAAAAAAGGGAATGAAAAAACGAAAATTTGTGACACAAAAACGAGAAAATGACAATTAAAAAATCGGGAAACTGAAAAATAAAAATCAAAGAGTTGAAAAATTGGGGAAATAAAAACTGAAAAATCAAAAAATTAAAAAAATAACTGAGAAATTGAAAAAAATGAAAGTCGAAAAAACAAAAAATTATCAAAACGAAAAAATGGAAAAATTAAAAAAACGAAAGATTAAAAATTGAGAAAGTCGTTCAAAATCAAAAAAATGAAATATGTGTTGAAATCGGAACTGGGAATCCAAAAAATTGTCAAACTGAAAAAAAACTGTGACAACAAATGTCAGTTTAAAAAAAGATTACAAAAAAAGGGACGAAATAAACGTGAATTGAAAAAAAGTAAAAAAAAAACAACAAACCAACTAAAAAAGGTGTCAAAAATTCGATGTAAAAAACGCGATTTAAAAAAGAGACAAAAAATGTAATTAAAACTATCATCAAAAGAGGTCAAAAACAACAAAAAGTTCACAAAAAACGAACTTTGACACCGGAATCAAATAAAAAGAAATGAAAGAAATTATAGTCGTATACATTATAAAAATTAAAATAAAAAGAAGAAAAAAAATAAAGAAAAACACATCTTAGCAGAAACAACAAAGTTAATTAAATTAATTATTACGTTATATTCCACAAACAAAAAAACTAGAAAAACCTTAAAAACGATTAAAGAGAAAATAGTTGACAAAAAACACCACTTATAAAAAAAGAGCAAAAAATAAAATGTGGTATAAATAGAAAACAAAAAAACGACAATCAGTCCATTAAAACCGACAAAAAACTACCTGAAAACAAAAAAGTCAATAAAAAAAAGGTGACAAAAAATGTCAAAAGAGCAGAAAAACGCGGTTTAAATAGAGAACTAAAAAACACCAAAAGTCCACAAAAATGACTAAAACGACTAAAAAAACAAACGTGAAAAAAATTCCCAACAAAACGACTAAAAAAAGTGAGTGGAAAAAAGATGTCAAAAGACGATAAAAACGCAATTTTCGAAAGGCGAGAAGAAGTGTCAAAAAATGCGATAAGAATAGTCTCTCTGATTTTCTAAAAAAAGACAAAAAAAGCGAAAAAAAAAACGCTATACAGCGCCCAAAAAAATTACGACAAAAAAGCGAAAAAAGTCAAAAAGCGACGAAAATGTACACCAAAAAAAAACAACAAAGAACTCGCTAAAACCGACTAAAAACCAAAAAACTGTGACAACAAATGTCAGAATAAAAAAAAGACAAAAAAAGGTGACAAAAAGTGGTTATAAAAAAGTAAGAAAAAAGATTACAAAAAAAGGGACGAAAAAAATCGTGAATTGAAAAAAAGTAAAAAAAGGGCAAAAGAAAAAAAATCCCCAACAAACCAACTAAAAAAAGGTGTTAAAAATTCGATGTAAAAAACGCGATTTAAAAAAAAGCCACAAAAAATGTAATTAAAACTATCATCAAAAGAGATCAAGAAACAACAATAAGTTCACAAAAAACGAACTTTGACACCGGAATCAAATAAAAAGAAATGAAAGAAATTATAGTCGTATATATTATAAAAAGAAAAATAAAAATAAAAAAAAGAAAAAAAGAAAGAAAAACACATTTTAGCATAAACAACAACGTTAATTAAATTAATTATTACGTTATATTCCAAAAAAAAAAACTAGAAAAACCGTAAAAACGATGAAAGAGATAAAATAGTTGACAAAAAACACCACTTATAAAAAAAGCAAAAAATAAAATGTGGTATAAATAGAAAACAAAAAAAAACGACAATCAGTTAATTAAAACCGACAAAACTACCTAAAAACAAAAAAGTCACTAAAGAAAGGTGACAAAAAATGTCAAAAAAGAGCAAAAAACGCGGTTTAAATAGAGAACTAAAAAACACCAATAAGTCCACAAAAATGACCAAAACGACTAAAAAAACAAACGTGAAAAAAATTCCCAACAAAACGACTAAAAAAAGTGAGTGGAAAAAAGATGTCAAAAGACGATAAAAACGCAATTTTCGAAAGGCGAGAAAAAGTGGCAAAAAATGCGATAAGAATAGTCTCTAAATTTTCTAAAATGAGACAAAAAAAATCGAAAAAAAAAACGCCATACAGCGACCAAAAAAATTACGACAAAAAAGGGACGAAAATGTCCACCAAAAAAAAAAACAAGAAACCTCAATTTAAAAAAAGACAAAAAAGGTGACAAAAAGTGGTTATAAAAAAGTAAGAAAAAAAGATTATCAAAAAAAGGGACGAAAAAAACGTAAAAAAAAAAGGTAGAAGAAAATTGTAATAAGAAAGGTGACAAAAAGGGGACGAAAAAGGTGGATTAAATAGAGAACTAACAAACACCAATTAAGTCCGCAAAAAGTACCTAAAACAACTAAAAAAACCAAAACCGAAAAAAATCCTCATCAAACCAACTAAAAAAAAGGTGTCAAAAGGTTGATGTAAAAAACGCGATTTAAAAATAGCGACAAAAAATGTAATTAAAACTATCATTAAAAGAGGTCAAAAAACAACAAAAAGTTCACAAAAACCGAACTTTGACACCGGAATCAAATAAAAAGCAATGAGAGAAATTATAGTCGTATATACTATAAAAATAAAAATA